TCGGAGTGACGCGAGGTGGTCCCCGCTCGAGCTGGCGTTGACCCCACCTGCTCCCCCCTCGCCCATCTAATTTGTTTGGCAGAAGCATCAAGATTGCCCAACGGTAATTGTAGTTTGCCAGCCAGCTCCAAAAATTCATGTCACGGTAATAAATAAGGAGTCGTCACCCACAAGTGATGATCGCTGGTTCCGCTAGGTGATTGGTTGGTGCAATGGCGACGGTGTTTGTTAGTTCAGATTGAAATGTAGTTAGTGTAGTGGCGGAAAAGTGACAGCTGGCAGCAACTGGTTCTGTCATACATGATTCGATCCTGCTCCTAATCCTGCGCTTAGCCAGCCCTTTTCTAAGCTGCTGTTTGGACTGGTTTCTATAACTTGCTTTTCGTACTTATCGTCGGCGACTAGGAGAATTGGCGGAGAGCAACGGATGTAAGCATGAGACATCGCCTGCGAATAGCGTGTGCTATCCTCGTTATAGTCGTCTCGTTACAATGCCAGTATCAGGGGTTCGTGAGTGGAAGGGATTTGGATGGAGAGGATGGTTTTAGTGAAAGATCGAATGCAGTTTTATTGGGTGCACCGAGATTAGAATTCGAAGGAGGGTCGCAAGAGAGCGGCCACGTGGAAAGCAGGGATGCGGTTCAGGGTAATATCGAGGCGTTCGGAACATCTTCTCGGATTTACGAAGTGGTTCGGAGGAAGAGGAATGTGGTTCAGGAGGAGGCGAAGGCAGATGTTTCGATTGGCCGAAACGAAGCAGGCGACGCAGAGAAACGTGACGCGGAAAAAGACGATAATGCGGCTGATACAGCTGATACCATTCTCGGTACAGCCGAAACAAACGAGGATACGGCTATTTTAGCTCGAGGTACTGCCGTTCGAGCCTGGCTGAAGAAATGGAAAAGGAGGTGGTTATTGCAAGATTCGATAGTAGATGAATCGATAATAGGCCGGGTTGGGGCTATCGAGAAAGAAATTCAGGACAACTTAGCGGAACAGGGGAATGTTACCGAGCTGTTACAAAGGGTTTCGGCCATACGAAGCGCGCTGACTCAGATTCTAACGTCATCATCGTCGTCAGCAGAAGATGCTCGGTCCGCCGAGGGAGGGAAGAGCGAGGAAGGGGAGAAGAGCGGGGAAGGAGGAAACATCGAGGAAGGCGCGAGCACGGAAGGAGGGAGTAGAGGAGTGCAAGCGGGTCAGGAAGGAATCACTGTGGAGGGTGCGTTGGGTGCCAATCGAACAATCAGACTCGACTGGTGAGTGAGTTGCTACTGTGGTGTAGGGAACAAGGAGTGTGAGGAGGGAGTGGGGGAGTGCAAGCGGGCCAGGAAGGAAGCACTGTGGCGGCGGGTGCAGTGGGTGCTGCTAACCGGCCCATCAGCCTCAACTGGTGAGTGCGTACAAGAGTGGGAGTGACTGAGTACGTGAGCGGGGGAGTGAGTTGAGTCAGGGAATTAGTGAGTGAGTGAGTGAATGAGTGAGTGAGAGCAGAAATTGAAGGACGAGCACCAGCACAGCACCTGTCAGGGCCGAAAGAGCAGGGTGTGTGTGACAAGACTCAGAACTAGGGCAAGTTGTATTGTGATCAGACCCAGACCCACGCGTCTCTTTGTCCCTCTCTCCTTCCCTGTGCCCCTTTTCCCACAGGGTGAAGCCAGTGACTCACAAGGAGAAGGAGGAGGAGGAGGAGGAGGAGGAGGAGGAGGAGGAGGAGGAGGAGGAGGAGGAGGAGGAGGAGGAGGAGGAGGAGGAGGAGGAGGAGGAGGAGGAGGAGGAGGAGGGCCGGAAGAAAGTGGCAGGAAGAGTGTGTGACAAGACTCAGAACTATGGCAAGCTGTATGGTGATACAAGTCCCTATGTCCCTCTCTGTCCCTCTCTCCTTCCCTGTGCCTGCTGCAGGGTGAAGCCAGTGAGTAAGGAGGAGAAGGACGAGGAGGGCAGGCAGAGAGTAGCAGCAGGGGTGTGTGGCAGGACTCAGAACTATGGCAAGCTGTATGGTGATACGACCCAGGCCCATGCGTCTCTCTGTCCCTCTCTCCGTCTCTGTGCCTTCTGCAGTGTTAAGCCAGTCACTCAGAAGGAGAAGGAGGAGGCAGGCAAGCAGAAAGTAGCAGCAGGAGTGTGTGACAAGACTCAGAATTATGGCAAGCTGTATGGGATGGGACCTATTGCCTGGGAGCCGCAGCCTGGCAAATACGTGTTGATGGACTGCTATAGGAACCAGGTGAGGGGTTGGGAGGAGTGGAGGGCGGTGCATGTATGGTATAGGTGTTTTACATTGTCTGGCAGCCGCAGCAGCCTGGCAAATACATGCCCTGGCTAGTTGTTTTCGATGCTGCTCATCACACCCAACCCATTCCCACTCCACCCATTCCCACCCTTCTCCACCGCACTCCACCAGATGAGCAACCGAGTGCAGTGCGGTGCATGAACAGCGGCGGGCTACTTGAACAGCGGTGTATCTGATCGCGGCGGGCTACTTATACCGCACGCTCGCCGTGCCTCTCCACGCCGACGAAATCAGTCACAACTCCTTTTCCCGCCCCACCCCTGTCCACCCCACTCCACCGCACTCCACCAGATGAGCAACTGAGTGTGGTGCATGAACGAATACTTGATAGCAGCGGGCTATCTAAACCGAACGCTCGTCGTCCCTCTGCACGCCGACGAGATCAGGCACAACTACAAGCGCCGCGCTTATTTTGATCTCTACCACACGCGCCCCTTCTCACTGCACTCCACCGCACTCCACCCCTTCCCACCGCACTCCGCCAGATGAGCAACCGGGTCCGGTGCATGAATAAATTCTTGATTGCTGCCGGCTACTTGAATCGCACATTGGTGGTGCCTCTGCATGCCAACGAGATCAGCCACAACTACGATCCCCACGCATACTTTAACCCCTTCCCACCCCTTTCCACCACACTCCACCAGATGAGCAACCGTGTGCGCTGCATGAACAAATACTTAATCGCAGCGGGCTATTTGAACCGCACTCTCGTGGTCCCTCTGCATGCTGACGAGATCAGCCACAACTACGAGCGCCGCGCTTACTTCGATCTCAACCACACGCGCCGCTGCTTCGGGCCCCGCACGGTTATTTCACGAGATGAGTTGCTAGAGCTGGAGAGGGAGAGGAGGAATGGTGGTGGGGGCGCGGGAGTGGGAGTGGGAGTGGGAGTGGGAGTGGGAGTGGGAGGGGGGGAAACGGGGGATGATACGGCTGGACCAGATTGTGTGTTTATACGGTCGTTGCTACGATCAGGACCCCGTAGGCATTCCGAAGCACATGCCGAACTACACCAGCATCGGCTTCTCGCCGAACCTGACGTGGACGTCCGGGGGTTTCCTCTCAAGCCACTCAGTCAACATCACCGATTTCCAATTGGTGAATTCCATGCTTCTGCCCTCGGCTCGTCTTATTACGTTTGATGACCTAGGTTCGGCGATTTTGGATGCTTCCATGCAGGCTAATGGGTCCCGTATGAATAACCTCGACCTTCCGTTTGTTCGCTCCCCGGACTGCCCGAACCCTCTGGCCATCCAACCGCATCCCGCGATTCTGGAAGCTGCCGATGCGTTTGTGCTGTCAAAACTTTTGCAGGGGCTGCCCCGGGAATGGGAAGTGAAAAATATCAGCATCAGTGACAGTAGCAGCAGCAGCAGCGGCGGCGACGGCGAAGGGGGGAGTGGTAGATTAGCATTTGGACGGTACATGGCGGTTCACTGGAGACGGACGGACCTGATTAAGAGTTACTCGCATCTGACGGTGGAGCAGACAGGGAGCTGCGTGGCGAGGAAGATGATTCGTTCGGGCAACTTGACGACTCTGTTCCTGGCGACTGACACGAATGATGAGGAGGTGAGAGATATTGAGGGTAGAATCTCCTATCCTGGTAGAGGGTACTTCTTGATTTGTGGGCCAGGAAGATCCTTCAGTTAGGCAACTTGACAACGCTGTTCCTGGCGATTGACACGAATGACGAGGAGGTGGGTGGGACGGACACGAATGAGTAGGAGGTGAGAGAGATTGAAGGTAGAATCTCCTATCCTGGTAGAGGTTACTTGATGTGTGGCGAGGAAGGTGATTCGGTCGGGCAACTTGGCATGACAACTCTTCTCCTTGCGACCGACACGAATGAGGAGGAGGTGAGTTACGTACAGCTTCCATTCAAGGCATATGGATGGCTACTTGGTACCAGTAACTTGATGCTTCAGAAGAATTCCCACCAGAATAGTCATTCATGCTTTTTTCTCCACATGGTATCAGTGTCACCTATAGCATTTTCCCATAACACATCTCCATGTGCTTTTCCCACAGGTGAAGCAGCTGGAGCAAGTTATCCGTGCCTCCATTCCTAACCTCAGGCTGGTTCGGCAGCCGGCGAGCCTGGCGGGCGAGGACTGGGCGGCAGTGCTTGCCCAGGCCCATTTCACCCACATGACCACAGTACAAGCTGTACTCGATAAGGCTATATGCGTTATGGCGGATGTTTTTTTGGGGACCGATGCGTCGTCCTTTACTGCGGATATAAATAGAATTCGTGCAGGACTTAGATTTCAAGAATGTGACGATGCTCCAATTTGTCATGGGTTGCCGGTGGTGGGTGGGAGATAGGTAATATTTGGGTACAGATGTGTCATTGTGACTCGTCTTCTACACCGGATACAAAAACGGTAGGATTCGTGCCGGGCTTAGGTTTCAGGAATGTGACAATGCGCTAATCTGTCATGGGTTGCCGGTGGTGGGAAATACCAGGAATAGGTGATTGTGGGATAGGTGCTGTAACTTCGGATAGGGGAATCATTGAGTGACGTGAATCCTCTTCTCCCCTCTTTTATCCATGATAGAGTTTTGACAGTGCAGTGTGCACTGCCTTGGCTGCTTTGGCAACCGATACACATTCACGAATCACAACACTACAAAAAGTTGAGAAAGTGGTTCCACTGACTGAATTAGGTTAACATAGACACCAAAAAGCAGCAAATGTGTTCCCTCAGACAAGATAAGGGGAATCGAGCACTGCGAAGCCAGACGCCACCCCTCCCTCGTTTGAAGTAGCTGTTTTTGTGCGCAATAGGTGGCCTGCTGCTGCATTGATAACCACCTTGTCTCCATTTCTGAAAGGAAGGGGAAGGAGATGTGTAAGACGAAGGGAAGAGCGAGTGTTGGTGGTACACTTATAACAAACCTGAGGTACGTGCAATACACGCCCAGCTCTGACAGGGTGTCGTTCTGGCTGTGCTGGCAGGCACCGCCGTATGAGCACGGAGCGGTGCACGGGGGGGAAAGGGAGCGGAGTCGTGTTGCCCACTAGTTCACAAGCACATATACGCACCTCAGGTATGTGCCATACACGCCCAGCTCTGAGAGTGTGTCGTTCCAGCTGTGCTGGCACCTCCGGATAAGAACCGAGCGGTGCATGGGGGGAAAGAGGCGCTGCATGAGAATGAACGCTGCTAGCTCCTGCCTCCCCGCCTCCCCTGCCTCTGTCAGCTCTGTGAGCTTCCTGGTAATTTCCTCATCGTAAATGTTGTTGCCTGCACAGAGGGGTGGATTGGGTTGCAAAGCAGTCAGAGGGTTTAGCAGGTCAAGACAGCTCGAACAATTAAATCAGCAACCAGACGGTCCGATACGTAACTTGATGTTTAGACGAACAATTTCAGTCAACATAAACGGTTTGTGCTCAAAACTACAGTTCAATTATTCCGGTTCACAGAACCTGTTTCTGTTTGAATGGCATGGCTCCTCCTTCTACTTGACTTTGGAGTCCACTCAAAAGCCTTCGTCTACGTGAGGTTCACCAATTGTCTATTGACGCATCGTTTCTGAATGACCAGTATCTCACCTCCTCCTTCTCTTTGCGGCTTCAGCACAAACTCTGATGGCTCCCGAATCGCCTTTGCAATGATTGCGTTCCGTGCTGCCCCATCATCGCCTCCCCCTTCCACTGCTCCTCCTTCCTCCTCCAAACTCCACAGCCCGGCGAAGCATTGCCGCATGGCTTGAAGAGATGACTCATCAGATACAAACCTGGTTGGGGGGGAGAGAGATGGGGAGCAGGAGAGAGCGAATGGATACTTCTGTCCACGAAACCTATTCACATCGCCTCAGACGTCCGATTAGCCTGCCTCCTCCTCCTGTCCACCCCCCCCCTTCTCCTCACCCTTCCCCTTCCAGGCTCCACAGCCCCGCGAAGCACTGCCGTATGGCCTGAAGAGATGTCTCATTGGAGACGAACCTGGTTGACGAGGAATGGGAGAGGGAAGAAATTAACAATCATGGTCGAGGGGTAATGGGAGAGAGAAACGTGAAAGCTGACCAGCAGATGTGGGAACGGGCGTTCTGAACAAACTGGTGGTACTGTATGGCTTTTGAGGCGCCTCTAAAGCAACGAGGGAAGCACCATCCTTGCTTTTGAAGCAACGTTGCAGCCAGCCTAGAAAAACCGTTCAGCAAAGCTGGCTGCATTTGACACGAGAGAGAAAGAGGAACGTGAGCTCAGACCCACACAACCGCTCTGAACCGGTGGTTGTGATGGTCATGGTGTTGAGAGCTCAGGCGAGCTCAAATCAAGCTGGCGAGACACATGACTGCTCACGCTCACTCCGAGAGTTACTTTCCTCCCCATTAACTCCCCTCTGGTTCCTCGTGTTCTCTCACCTCTCCAGCACTCCTGGCTGTGCCAGCTGCTGCTGAACCTTCTTCGCCCCTGCAAGGTGGTATGCGATGGTGGGGCATTTTACTGCCGCTGATCGCTCGAGCAGCAAGCGGGCTTGCCATTCCTGGGATTAGAGGAGGGGGGGTGATATGGAGGAGCGTGTTACAGGGGAACATGGGGTTAAGGCAAGGTGGTACGTGATGGTCGGACACCTCACTGCTGCTGATCGCTCAAGCAACAGACAAGCCTCCCACTCCTGAGGCACGCAGTCAGAGAGAGGGGTGATATGAGAGAGGAGTGGGAACAGAGGAGGGGTGTGAGTCAGCTCAAAAGTCACTTTCTGAAGGAAAACTGGGCGGGCACTGTGGCAGGCAGAAACCAGTTCGTTAATAGAGCAGATATGTGTATCGAGCAGAGGGTACAGAGCAAATTTCGAGCAGAATTTGGGTGGAAAGTGCCTTGGGGGCTGACTATGGATTGGCAATGAAAAAGGAGGCGAAATTATTTCCTGGGTTTCACCCAAATGCGAGGAGAACAAACAAACAAACAAACATGTGTACCAACTGCATAACTCACAACTTACAAGGTCAGTTGGGTAATCACCGGGGCCGTAGCCTGCACGGTAATACACCACCGATATGCGATGGCCGTCCCTGGTGTGTGGAATAGGCGAGAGAACAGGGAGGTGGAAGGGCATGATATAGAAGGAGTGAAACACACACATGCTGCGTGTCAAACACACACATGCTGCGTGTCAAACACACACTTAGAAACGTGTAGCCACTCGCATGCACACACGCTCGCATGCACACACGCTCGCATGCACACACGCTCGCATGCACACACGCTCGCATGCACACACGCTCGCATGCACACACGCTCGCATGCACACACGCTCGCATGCACACACGCTCGCATGCGCGCAAGCACTCACATTGCTGAATGTTGAGTCAATTCAAAGGTCAGCTCATTTATGATTTTTGAGGCGCCTCAAAAATGTTGAGTCAATTCAAAGGTCAGCTCATTTATGCAGACATGCACACACATGCACACCTTCAGCACTGATAGTGCTGGTCGTATATGCTGGCTTCATCTTGCACAACCTCTCACACTCACACTCGCACTCACACTGACAACACACACACAAACGCGCACTCACATACACATACACAGACACATACACATACACATACACAGACACATACACATACACATACACATACACACTCACACTCACACTCACACTCACACTCACACTCACACTGTCAAGTCGCCACTGTCTGTAATCGCCCCCTGCTGCTGAACCTCCTTCAGGCTCCTCCTGAGCACTCTAATCCCGTGCCTCTGCCACACGAGTTGCACTGCTCTCATGCTATGCCCCTTGTTCTTTGCGCGACTGAACTCACACTGTTAGCTCGCCTGTGCCTGTAATCGCCCCCTGCTGCTGAACCTCCTTCAGGCTCCTCCTGAGCACTCTAATCCCGTGCCTCTGCCACACGAGCTGCGACAAGCAGTGCTGGTCGTACATATTCCGCTCTGGCTTTTGCACCACCATCAAAATGAGAGAGCTGCTCTGGTGGAAGTTGGGGAGAGATGGAGGCAGAGGGATGGGCAAGGCAGGGTTGTAGCTGTTAGGATAAACAGCAGGATAGAATAGCACAGGCCGAGACAGGCAGTGATGGTCGTACATGTTGCGCTGTGGCTTTTGCACCACCATCAGGATGAGAGAGCTGCTCTGGTTTGGGGTGGGGTCAGGTGGGGAGAGATTGGGAACGGTGGTGGGGGGACAGGCAGTGCTGGTCGTACATATTGCGCTCTGGCTTTTGCACGAGCATCAGGATGAGAGGGCAGAGGAATGGGCAGAGCAGTGGTGGGAAAGAGAGGTAGTTGGTTGCACACATGTAGCGCTCTGGCTTTTGCATTGCACCACCATCAGGATGAGAGAGCTGCTCTGGGGGTGTGTGGGATGGGAAAATGTGGGGAGAGATGGGGGACGGTGGTGGACGAGAGGCAGTGCTGGTCGTACATGTTGCGCTCTGGCTTTTGCATTGCACCACCATCAGGATGAGCGCGCTCTGGAGGGATTTAGAGAGAGGGATGGGAGCGGAGGGATGGACAGCAAGAAAGCACAGGCCGAGAAAAGCAGTGCTGGTCGTACATGTTGCGCTCTGGCTTTTGCATTGCACCACCATCAGGATGAGAGAGCTCTGGTTTGGGGTGGGCTGGGAGGGAGAGGGCAAGTAGAAAGGTAAGGGGGATGGTGAAGAGGGATGGGTGGGGGCCCACACGTGCTGTGCCGGTCAGTGCTGGTCATACGTGCTGCATTCTGGCTTTTGCAATGGATTAAGCTCCCAACACTCATACCTACCACACAGCACCCAGCCCTAACACACAGCACCCATCCCTACCACACAGCACCCAGCCCTACCACACAGCACCCAGCCCTACCACATAGCACCCAGCACTACCATATGACAGCGTGACCCACCTACCTCTCATCCCCGTATTCCCTCCACGCTGCTGCCAGTGCATCTGCCATGTCCGTTGCTGCCGTGTTGAGAGGCACACACAGCAGTGTGTTGAGAGGCACACACAGCACCCACCGACAGACCCGCCTTCAGCACCTGGCCCTGCTGCAGTGCAGAGCACCAAGCAGGCCTACCTCATAACAGCGTGACCCACCTACCTCTCATCCCCGTATTCCCTCCACGCTGCTGCCAGTGCATCTGCCATGTCCGTTGCTGCCGTGTTGAGAGGCACAGAGTCCACCGACAGACCCACCTTCTCGCCATACATCCCCACCATGTGCCTGGGAGGGGGGATGAAAACGGGGATGGGAAGGTGCAGAGTACTTTGTTATGTCCGTTGCTGCCGTGTTGAGAGGCACAGCACCCACCGACAGACCTGCCTTCTCACTATACATGCCCACCATGTGCCTGACAGGCAGGGGGGGTTTGGAGGACAGAAAGAGTATGGGGGATCAGGCAGAGGTGTGAATACTCTCATGTTCATTGCTGCTATGTTGAGAGGCACAGCACCCACTGACAGACCCGCCTTCTCGCCATACATGCCCACCATGTGCCTGGCAGGGAGGGTGACAGCAGGGACAGAAGAAAAAGGGGGGAGAGGGGGTTTTCGTCCCCCTGTAAGGACGAGGTAAGGTAATCTCTCTCATGTCCGGCTCTGCAGTGTTGACAAGGCACAGCACCCTCCGACAGACCCCCCTTCCCGGCATACATCCTCGCCATGGCATCATGGCAAAGAACTCTTTTGTTAATAAGAAGAGTTCCAGTTTCACAAGCTCTCGGTGACAAGCTAGTTTCTAAGCGTTTACAAACTGTCTTCTCCTACTTGCTCAAAACCTACTCCTGCACAAGTGTTGCTCACTGGAAGAATGTCCAAAGATCCACAGCACCCTCCGACAGACCCCCCTTTCCGCCACACATCCTCACCATGGCACCATTGCAGAAGAACTGAAAGAAAGAGCATCCACTCCACACCACATCAGCTGACTTTTGAGTCGACTCAAAATGTGTCGTGTGCCATGGTAACGAGGTGACTTTTGAGTCGACTCAAAATGTGTCGTGTGCCATGGTGACGAGGTGACTTTTGAGTCGACTCAAAATGTGTCGTGTGCCATGGTAACGAGGTGACTTTTGAGTCGACTCAAAATGTGTCGTGTGCCATGGTGACGAGGTGACTTTTGAGTCGACTCAAAATGTGTCGTGTGCCATGGTAACGAGGTGACTTTTGAGTCGACTCAAAAGTCACCTCGAACTGAAAGAAAGAGCATCCACTCCACACCACATCAGCTTCCGGAACGCAAGAACTCTCTTTCTATTCTCCCCTTCCCCTCCACCCCAAAAGGCTCTTACCCACCTGTGCACGTCCGTGAGTTGGGAAAAGAGCCCTTGAGAAGGAGGTGGAGATGGTGTTGAGCTCCATCCACCTGCAGCACTTCCCCCACAAGGCCATCCCTTGCATCACCAACCCTGCTATGCATTACCGTCCAGCTCAAAACTCCACCTTAAACCCAAAAGGCTCTTATCCACCTGTTTTTGAGGCGCCTCAAAAATCACCTTAAACCCAAAAGGCTCTTACCCACCTGTGCAGATCGGTGACGCTTGAAGTGACCCCGGGGAAGGACGAGGAGATGGTGTTGACCTCCACCTGCAGCACGGCCTCACAGCAGAGTCATCCCCAATACTAGCCAGCCAGTAACCCCCCCTGCTCACCTGTGCAATTCAGTAACCCTTGAAGTGAGGCCAGGGAAGGACGAGGAGATGGTGTTGACCCTTTGTGATGCCTACCCTTTGTAACACCAACCCTCACCTGTCCAGGTCTGTGACCCTTGAGGTGAGGCCAGGGAAGGAGGAGGAGATGGTGTTGAGCTCCACCTGCAGCACGGCCCCTGTGACACCAGCCCCGCCCTTTGTGATGCCTACCCTTTGTAACACCAACCCTCACCTGTGCAGGTCTGTGACCCTTGAGGTGACCCTGGGGAAGGACGAGGAGATGGTGTTGACCTCCACCTGCAGCACGGCCCCTGTGACACCAACCCCACCCTTTGTGATGCCTACCCTTTGTAACACCAACCCTCACCTGTGCAGGTCTGTGACCCTTGAGGTGAGGCCAGGGAAGGAGGAGGAGATGGTGTTGAGCTCCACCTGCAGCAAACAGCCTCACAGCAGAGCTAACCCCTCCCCAGCAACACCAGCCCTGACCTGCTCTGCAATACCCTCTAACCAAAGAATTTTTCAGCCCACCTGTGCAAGTCCGTGACCCTTGAGGTGAGGCCAGGGAAGGAGGAGGAGATGGTGTTGAGCTCCACCTGCAGCACGCCCCCTGTGACTGTGTCCAGCATGTAGTCAGACCTGTGCATTCCCAGCCGTATGGGCTGACGGGTGGAGAGTGGTGGAGAGGGGTGGAGGGTGGTGGAGATGCAGTGGAGAGAGGTGGAAATGGGTGGGGAGGGATGGGTATCAATCACTTGTGACTATGTGTTGAGCTCCACCTGCAGCACGCCCCCTGTGACTGTGTCCAGCATGTAGTCCGACCTGTGCATTCCCAGCCGTATGGGCTGACGGGTGGAGAGTGGTGGAGAGGGGTGGAGGGTGGTGGAGATGCAGTGGAGAGAGGTGGAAATGGGTGGGGAGGGATGGGTAGCAATCACTTGTGACTATGTGTTGAGCTCCACCTGCAGCACGCCCCCTGTGACTGTGTCCAGCATGTAGTCCGACCTGTGCATGCCTAACCTTATTGTTTAGGATTCGAGGGGTGGAGAGGAGTACGGAGGGTGGGAGAGGGGTCGAGATTGGTGTGGAGGTGACTGGTAGTCTGGTGTTGAGCTCCACCTGCAGCACGCCCCCTGTCACTGTGTCTAGCACGTAGTCGGATCTGTGCATGCTCAGCCGTATGGGCTGGAAATGGAGATGAGTGGAGGAGAGCGGTGGAAAGCGGTGGGGAGGGATGGGGAGGAATGAGGCGACTCTGTGTTGAGATCCACCTGCAGCACGCCCCCTGTCACTGTATCCAGCACGTAGTCAGGTCTGTGCATGCCCAGCCATATGGGCTGGGGTAATAATGGGTATAAGGCTGCTCACCTGCTGAATTCAATGCTTTAGTATCTCCAAGTGTATTAGGAAAAGACCTACTGTGTTCTTACATGTGCGGCAATCCACCGGAAGCACAATACGGTCTCAGCTCACTTGCTTCCCTCACAGATTACCTGCTTATCTCCCTTGTTTGCAGGCTGCTCACCTGCTGTATGCCCTCCTTTATTATCTCCGCGTGTATTCGGAGGAGACCGGCTGTGAAAGAGTCAGAGCGCCCTGCACTGAAACAGGGGGAGGGCATAGCATGGCATGGCATGGCATAACATGGGATGAGGATGCATTCAGTGGTGCTGCGCATATTTGGGTGAAGTGGAGACGGATTGATTCACAGGTGAGACAAGGGGACAGACACGTAGCGCTGTAAAGGAGTAAAATCAATGTCCTGAGGATGCTGTCAGTAGTTTCAACGTGACTGACTGACAGCACCCACCAAGTTGTTGAAGCGAGGGGCGAGGTGAAGTGACTCCCGAGGCTTAGAACCCCTGGCACTGCAGGTAGAGTGCTAGAGAGAGCTCACCTTGCTAGTGTGGATTGCAGAAAAGCAGAGTCTTGACTGACAGCATCCACCAGGTCGTTGAAGCGAGGAGCGAGATGAAGTGACTCCTGAGGCTTAAAACTCCTGCCACTGCAGATAGAGTGCTAGAGAAAGAGTGTGCGCTCACCTTGCTAGTGTGGATTGCAGAAAGTCAGAGTCCTGACTGGCGGCACCCACCAGGTCGTTGAAGCGAGGAGCGAGGTGAAGTGACTCCTGAGGCATAAAACTCCTGCCATTGCAGGTAGAGTAGAGTGCTAGAGAGAGAGAGAGAGAGCGCTTACCTCGCCAACGTGGATTGCGGGAAGTCAGAGTCCTGACTGACAGCATCCACCAGTGTGGATTGTGGGGCGAGCTGAGGTGACCTGTGAAGCAATTTAGAACATCTGCCACTGCGGTTACCAGACCAGTGAGGTGGTTACCTCGCCAACGTGGATTGCGGGAAGTCAGAGTCCTGACTGACAGCATCCACCAGTGTGGATTGTGGGGCGACCTCCACGGCTCGATGGAAATGGTGCGCTGGGAGGGGCGTGGGGAGCACGTCACTGGCGCAGCGACCAAGCCAGTGCGGTTACCACACGACGACCTGACTGACAGCGTCCACAAGATCGTTGAAGAGAGGGGCGAGCTCCACAGCTTGATAGAAATGGTGCGCTGGGAAGGGCGTGGGGAGCAGCGTCACTGGCGACGAAACCAGGCCTGCGTGGTAACCAGGCGTGCGTGGTTACCACACCACACCAGCCTGGATCACTCACCTCGTGAGCGTGGATTGCAGGAAGTCAGAGTCCTGACTGACGGCGTCCACCAGGGCGTTGAAGAGAGGGGCGAGCTCCATGGCTCGATGGAAATGGTGCGCTGGGAAGGGCGTGGGGAGCAGCGTCACTGGCGCTGGGATGAGGCCTGACCCAGGAACGGAACCCGAGTCCTGGAGGACAGGGGGAAGGAGTCGTGGGGAAAAAGATGGTGGGGTGGATGGAAATGGCGTGCTGGGAAGGCCGTGGGGAGCAGCGTCACTGGTGCGGGGACCAAGCCGGATCCAGGAACCGACCCTGAGTCCTGGAGCAAGTAGGAAAATGACACATTGGGTTAGACGACATTGAGTGTAAGAGTGCTATTGAACGGGTATGGAATTATGAACGTATCGAGATTTAATACGTGTCAACCAAAGGATCCAGGAACGGAACCCCCGAGGCCAGGAGCACAGGGGAAAATAAAATGACACAGTGAGCAGGACCACATTGAGTGTGAGAGAGGTATGACAGTACAAATGTATGGAGTTTTGAGACATTTCAAAACAGGAAGGATCCATCCAGGAATCGAACCCGAGTCTTTGAGCACAGGGTGAAATTTCCGAGCCTGGGTGCTGGAGAACAACAAGAGTAAGACCAAATCTTAGTCGTGAAGCACAGGAACCGAACCTGAAGCGACGAAAAGTGCAATATTAGACTCTTTTACGCCACGCGTCAGCTTGATTGTCCGATCCCCTAACACAGAGCCTACCTCGACTACCTGATTTTGAAGGAAGTTAGTGCTGACCCTCCAATGTTTCGAGAAACGAAATAAACGGACCAGCTGATCTTATATTTTCTCTAGCCGACCTCGATCGTCAGATCTTCCCTCTAACAACCTGGACCGTTCGATCTTGCCTACCTCGACCGTCTGATCGCCGACGACCAATCCGTTGAGCGAAGACCAAACTAGAGACTCATCCACCATGCCTTGCAACTCCGCGTCCGAAATGCTCTTCTCGAAATCGCTGATCGCGTCTGGTTGACCCATCTGCGACTCGTGGAACGAGCAACGAACGGTACTACTCCGACTTGTCTTCGTTATAAGCTGCTTCCGGAATGTCGTTGCAGGACGACGCGACTGAAATTGCGAATGCAACGAGCGAGAAGAGCGAAGAGAGGCGAGCAACCCGTGGTTTCTGGTTACACGGCTGGACGATAACGCTGCTGTCTGTGTAGCGGACAAACAGCCGTTGCGCGGGAGCGTTGTACTAGCAGCAGCAGCAGCAGCAGCAGCAGCCATAGCTGCCAGTAGAAAATGAGTGATTCAGGAAACCAGATGAGCCAGATAGCCGTTGGGATACACCCCGCCTCGATTTTTACGAGGAATTTTGATCAGGATTCTGAAGTGTCTGGCGTGTCCCGCGCAATCGTTTTTGGTGCACTGATCACGGTATTTTTCGGTGCTTCTCGTTCTAAAGCGGTAAATCGTCAGGAAATCAGCATAAAACATCCCCGCCTAGACTTTTATTCGGTTTCTGCGTTGAAACATATTCAATTACAGGATGCACTGCATGACTGTAATAATATCAAGTGCATAATACAATGACCTTTATCCTTGGCCTCTTTGCATGCAACGCACCAATGCACATAGGAGTATAGTTTCTAAGACTCGATATAAACTGCTGCTCTATTCTCTTGGCTGACTGGCTATTGCCAGCAGAAAGACACTCATGGAGGCATAAAACGCAACTGTTTGGAGACCGGAGCTGGTTGGAGTGAGCTGCACTGCTTCCCATGCTGTGCTTAAAGGAGCTGTTACAAACGCGGATGCTGATGACACAGTGTTGAAAATGGTTCCGTTTGTCGGGAGAGAGAGCTGGAATGGGTTTTAAAAGGAAGGGAAAGAAGGGGGAATGGGATGAAGGGAAGGGAGTAGGGAAGAAGAGAGAGGCAGGCAGGTGGACAACTGAGATCAGAAACTGTGATAGAGAGAAGGCTGATGATATGCCTAAATCTCAAAGCAGATGTTCATGGCAATGTCGTGGGCATGTGACAACGTAACGGAGACACCTCCCCGACCAAAGACGTGGCGGGCAACATCACAGAGACTCACTGACCAAATCCCATTCACGGAACCATCCAACGCGGGAGGGAGCCCCCTCCCCAGTACCCTCTAAATCGCCTCCTGCAGCAGCACCACCATCAACCAACCACCTTCCCAGCCATCCAATCTCCCATTCACTCACCGTCAAAATCCCATCCAAAGAACCATCCAGCGCAGGAGCCCCCTCCCCCAACAGCTGTTCAATCGCCTCCATCCCTGCGCCCCCAGCACCGCCAATCATCCTCGCCACCCCTACCGTGTCCGCCTGCAGTGCTCTTCAACCGTTCACACCTCCCTGTGTCTTACCCCCACTCACCTGCTATGTCCGCCTGAAGCGCTTCCCCGCCATACTCCAGAAGCTTTCAAGTCGCTACTCAGGTCTAGTGAGCATACATATGATAACCTTACCACCCTAGCCGTGTCCGCCTGCAGTGCTTCCCCGCCAGACTCCAGCGCCCCACCACCCACTCCCCCATTCACTCACCGACCAAACGCCACCATCCAGTGCAGGAGCCACCTCCCCAAAAAGCCTTTCAACCGCCACCATCCCTGCGCCAGCAGCATCGCCGATCATCCTCGCCACCCCTGCCGTGTCCGCCTGCAGCGCTTCCCCGGACCCCGCCCAATCAACTCCGGCACCCAACCATCCACTCTCCCATTCACTCACCGACCAAACGCCATCCAGTGCAGGAGCCCCTTCCTGGAATAGCCTTTCAACCGCCTCCAACCCTGCACTGGCAGCATCGCCAATCATCCTCGTCACCCCTGCCGTGTCCGCCTGCAGCGCTTCCCCGCTGGATTCCAGAAGCTTCTGCGTCGCTTCCACACCCGAACCAAGCAGCTTGCCCACCTGGTTCATGAGAAATGAACAAAATTCAAAAGAACAAGGTGGGCAAGCTTTAATTGTATCTTCACCTGGTGTTGTATCACTTCCCTGCATCTTTGTTGCTTTAATTGTAAAAAAACTTCGCCTGCGGAACAGAGCTGCGCGTGATCCCCCCCTCCCTTGTCTTCCCCTCACCCACCTGCTCCGACATGCTCTCTTCCGCCTCCTCCGCCCGCCAAACGCGGTAACCGCATAGTAACCCTGATTTCCTATTACCCACCTGCTCCGACATGCTCTCTTCCGCCTCCTCCGCCCGCCAAACGCGGTAACCGCATAGTAACCCTGATTTCCTATTACCCACCTGCTCCGACATGCTCTCTTCCGCCTCCTCCGCCCGCCAAACGCGGTAACCGCATAGTAACCCTGATTTCCTATTACCCACCTGCTCCGACATGCTCTCTTCCGCCTCCTCCGCCCGCCAAACGCGGTAACCGCATAGTAACCCTGATTTCCTATTACCCACCTGCTCCGACATGCTCTCTTCCGCCTCCTCCGCCCGCCAAACGCGGTAACCGCATAGTAACCCTGATTTCCTATTACCCACCTGCTCCGACACACTCTCTTCTGTTGACACAGCGCGTCCAAAAATGCCACAGGTCAAGAGTGGTAACTCTAAGGTAACCCTGTGGTAACCCCATAGTGCCACCCACCTGCTCCGACACGCTCTCTTCTGCTGACACAGCCTTTCCAAAAATGCCTACAGCTGCGCGTTCAAGATCCCCTGTCGCGGAGACGATATCCCCCACGGCGGAACCAAACTGCTCGGTATCCCCCCCCACGCCGTCCGCCCCCGCGGATCCCGCGCCGCCAGCGCCAGCAATATCGCGGTACGCGGAAGCCGCCGCGCGTTTCAAATCCTCCGCGGCGGAGACTAGACTCCCCACCGCGGAACGCGCTTTATCTACTCCGGCGGCGTCCGCAGCGGAGGCGGCTGCCGACGCGGCGGCGCGTTCAAGATCCTCCGCGGCAGTAATTAAGCTCCCGACGGCGGATCGCACTTTGTCGGTAGCGGCTGATTCCTCCGCAAGCGCCGCCGCCGCAGACGCTGGCAGTGCGGCGAGAAGTGAGACAGCGGGAATCGCGGCGACGAAAGCGACGAGAGGAGCGGGAGTGCGTGGGCGCTGTGAGAGTGACACTGTGGTCTTGGGAGTTTCGAGACGGTTTATAAAGGGTACGTCCCCATGTGGACGCGACGCCGTGTTCTGAGGAATGGGCGGCGATGAGCGAATTAAGTACGAGGCGTGAGTGATGCAAGCTGCGTGAACCATGCTGGCTAACGACGCGCCTCGCTGCTCAGAAACTGTGGCTCCAATAGAAGTGTTCAGTATGGAACCGCAGTTCCCGCAGCTTTTTTATTGCAAGACTGATGTTTTGTCGTGAATTCGCGAGTGGTTGGTCGGGTGCTGCTAGGTGTGCTGTGGAATGAACGGACGGTGTGCCGCAATTTACAGCGTCGTGGAGGAACGTGAGCCACTGGACTTATCCGCGATAAGGTGGGCCGCTATATAGAATAGTAAGCTTCTGGCTACGATAACGATAGTTACCCGCGTGAACCAGCTTTCAAATGGATAGCATATTCTCGTAAGTTATGTATTGCTGTGTACACATGACGGAAATGAGGAATAATAAGAATGCTGAAAAAAAAAAAACTCATAGTTATGTGGTTTTGCTTGAAAAAGAGCATGCACGCCTCTTTACTGGCTTTGTGGCATCAACACTAAAAAAGGTTGGAGGTATTCTTAAAGCTCGCGTCTCATATTTCTGTGTCCCAACCAAGTGTTAAACGCTTGGTATCCGGTAACCCTCAAACTGTCGCACAACTCCACTGAAGGTTGGCCCAGGTTGAAACGATTGGTTGGGAACCTACAAACTTGCTTGGCGGTATGCGCAGGGACGTGCCAAACCAATCATGCGATCGTGCACCCAGGTAGGTTTGGAAAACACACCTGCACGGCGACAACACGATCGCCCAAACTCCCCCACCGGCGACCAGGTTGTCGCACGAATCAAGCATTTACAACAGCTGAAAAATATGAGACTGACAGAACTCAGAAACCCGATTTCGCACTAGCACTAGGCTCAGGTTCAAGAGTAAAACTCTTTCCACTAGCAACCGCGGTTACCTCTTACACAAAAGTTAGATTCTCGTTGATCAGCATATACGGCCGACCTATAAACTTGAAATTAGGTCTTCATTTATCAGTATCAGCGGCGACCAGGGTACATCCCGTGCTTATCGTGAACCATGTCCAGGTAATGAGGCGCGCCAGGTAAGGGACGCGATGGGGCAGGACGGGACAGTACGGGAAGCGACGGGACTGGACAGGACTGGACGGGAAGGGACTAGAGGGACGGGACGGGACGGCACAGGAAGGTAAGAATCTCGACGAGGGGCCGGGAGGGGACGTGACGGGAAGGCGGGATGCGACGAGACCGGACGCAAATGGAAGGGAGGGAAGAGGAGCACGCGGAAGGGGCGGGATGCGACGGTACGGGGCGGAAACGGGAGGGACGGGAGGGGACGCGACGAGGGGGCGTGCATGCAGGGGGTCATGCATGAATGCAGGTCCTTGGCGTAGCAGGGTGAAGAGCACATCGTGTAATACAGCACAGCACAAGAACAGCGCACAGTGCAGCAGCGCCTGGACGAGTGGGGCGATTGCGAGCGCAAGTGCAGCCAGTGGCGCGAAGCCGCCAAACATGTCCCAAAACTCGGTCGTCCAGCTTGCCGTCGACTGGTTGCAGGGGGGATGGGGGCCGAGCGGGGGAGTGGGAGAGGGAGCGAAGCAGGAGCAAGTAGGGAGCGGAGGAGCGGAGAGAGGAGGGGAAGGGCGGGAGAGAGGCGGCGGAAGAGGGAGAGAAAGGAGCGGGAGGAGAGCGGGGGAGAGGCGGGTTGGAGTGGAGGCGGGGAGAAGGAGCAGGGGGGGGAGGGGAGGGGGTAGGTGGGATGTGGAGGGGAGGAAATGGGAGGGGAGGTGAGTGGAGACAGGAAATGCGCTCCTGCTTGCCGGCGTTCATCCTCCCTATCTCCGTTCTCTCCTCCCCAACCCCTTTTCCTTTCCCCCACCCCCCTTGCCTTTCCACTCATTCTCCCTGCCGCCCTGATTAGGTGCGAACGACGGGTTGCGATAAATCCCGTCATTCCCCCTTCTGCTCCCCATCAATTCCCGCTCTGCTTTTCCATCAATTTCCCCTCTACTCTCTATTTCCCCCCCTGCTTCTCCTCCGTTCCCCCCCTGCTTCCCCCCATCCCCTTCCCTGCTTCCCCCCATCCCCTTCCCTGCTTCCCCCCATCCCCTTCCCTGCTTCCCCCCATCCCCTTCCCTGCTCCCCCCCATCCCCTTCCCTGCTTCCCCCCATCCCCTTTCCTGCTTCCCCCCATCCCCTTTCCTTCTTCCCCCCACCCCCTTTCCTGCTTCCCCCCATCCCCTTTCCTGCTTCCCCCCATCCCCTCAGCCCTCCTTCCCCCCACCCTCTGCCCTGTTCCACCCTGCCCTCCCCATCCCTGCCTTTCCCTCCCTGCCCTGCGCTTCCCTTCCCCATCCCTTCTCAACCCTTCCCTTCCTTTTCATGCCCTCCCCTTCCCCTTCACACCTCACCCGCCCACTACCTAGTTCCCATGCATGTGCACCCATCACTGTCTCCCCACATGCTTTCATCATGTGCGCTTGCTTGTGTTCCCTTGCAGTTGTTCCTTTGGCACCTCACACCACCTCCCCCATGTTCCTTCACACAATTATTCCTGCCTACTCCACTCCCTGTATTTTCAGTGGTGAAGCAGAGGAGCAAGCTGAGGCGCAGCTAAAGCTAGTCCACGCTCTATACCGTACCACCACCTGTTTTTCTTGTGTGTTGTATGCAAGCATGATACTGTATTACTGTAGGAGATATCCATATCAAAGGCACAATATGTACTTTTCTTTCTGCAGTGCAAGATATTCTTCCAAGATGTATGGACACTGAGAGTGTCAGAAGGATAGATAGAGGCATGTCCCTAATACTGGCATGTTCCTATACTGGCTTGTAGCTTGTAGCTTTGCGTATGCATTACAGGTTGTATGACACCTGGTGTCGCAATGGTGCCTCAAATCCATGAGAAGGCAGGGAGGTGTGATGGAAAGGCAGGGAGATGGGTAGTAAGTGAGGGGAGATTTGAAGGGACGGAGGGTGAAAAGGGAATACAAGCGAGTAAACATGAGTTAATAAGATGCATGTATGGGGCAAAAGTGATGGCAGCACATGCACATGAACTGGAGGGCAGAAGGCGAGGAGTGACGTAGAAGGGCGGGGTCGAGAAGGGAAGGGCAGGGAGGAAAGGGCAGGGATGGGGATGAAGGGGAGGGGAGGAAGGGGAGGGAATGATGGGGAGAGAAGGAAGGGAAGGGGAGGAAGTGGAGGGAAGGAAGGGAAAAGGGGGGAGGGGAGATTGGTTACAGGAAGGAAGGGACGGCGGTGAGGATTGCGAGAGTGAGAATGGCAGGAAGAGTGTGAGAGGGCAGACGGGCCTTGTGATGTGGCCCACAAGAGATGAGAAGGAAAACGAGATGGTGGGAGGCATGAAGGAGATAAGGAGAGAAGCAAGGAAGGCAGGGAGAGGTGGTGGGAGGCATGAAGGAGAGATGGAAAAGGGGAAGCGGGATTGGAAAAAGGGGTGAATGAAAAGTGAGAATTCGGTAAGAAGGTGAGTGACGGGGGAAACAGAGTGGGCAGAGGGGAGAAAGGGTGAGTGTGGGGGAAAGAGAGTGAGCAGAGGGGAAAACGCGTGAGTGAGGGGTGAAAGAGAGTGAGCAGAGGGGAAACGGGTGCATAAAAGGGGGGTAATGAGAGCCTGCAGGGGGGGAAATGAGGGCGTGCAGGGGGGGAAATGAGGGCGTGCAGGGGGGGAAATGAGGGCGTGCAGGGGGGATGCCGCGCGAGGAGGCGAGAGGAGCACGCACGGGGAGGGGAGAGGAGCACGCGCGGGGAGGCGAGAGGAGCACGCACGCGGAGGGGAGAGGAGCACGCACGCGGAGGGGAGAGGAGCACGCACGCGGAGGGGAGAGGAGCACGCGCGGGGAGGGGAGAGGAGCACGCGCGGAGAGACGAGAGGAGCACGCACGGGGAGGGGAGAGGAGCACTCGCGGGGAGGCGAGAGGAGCACGCACGCGGAGGGGAGAGGAGCACGCACGCGGAGGGGAGAGGAGCACGCACGCGGAGGGGAGAGGAGCACGCGCTGGGAGGGGAGAGGAGCACGCGCTGAGAGGCGAGAGGAGCACGCGCGGGGAGGCGAGAGGAGGCGAGAAGGGGATATTGGGCGGCAGAAATGGGAGATCGGGCCGCGGGAACGGGAACTCGGGCGGGTTGCACGGGAGATCGGTCGGCGAGCAGGGGAGATGGGGTGGCGGGGAAGCGGAGGTCGGGTGGTGGGAAGATGACGGCTATTACCTAATCATAAGCATAGGCAAAGGGGAGCGCTACTGCTGCTCACCCCTGTTACGTGACATTCTTTGTCCTTTTGACGCCTTTGGATAGGAGCTAGGTTACTAATGGAGTGGTAATGCTTCTACTACGTGTAAGGAGGTAGGGCTGGAGTGCTAACCTTGGCGCTTGATTTTTCCCTATCACTTCACTCCCTTGCACAATCTGTGTTCCCGTCGTCAGTGTTGGTCGCACAAAGTGCAACTTCCCAAACCTGTCACGCAAGAGGTTCGGATGTGACCCAAACCTGCCCCTGAGCTCTTGTGTTGGCCTCAACACTTTGGAACTTCGCGCATGTATTTCCCCCGCTCGTAAAAAAACTCGTCACTCGTAAACCAATCAGGATCTTACTTTCCCAACCAAGTGTTAAACACTAGTAAATATGAGACGCGAGCTTTAAACATTTTTACAACTCAAGAAATGGTTGGAACTTACTCCGTTTGCGACGAAGCTCGTAGAATTTTTGCTCTTGTAACAAGTACAGCACTTTCTTTCTCCACGCCATGTTTCAACCCTTGAAAGCAATCACCGTTTGCCAACTGTCTTTCGCGTATGAGCACACGCCGCCATGGGTGCGCTTGTCTCCCCGCCGCCGCCGCGCACGCTGTCTCCCCTAGTTGCCTTGCGCCACGCGCGCACCCCCGTGCGCCAGTTGCGCTTTTCCCGAAATCCCTTGAGTCCGTTTGGTCCTTCCAGAATACGAGAAAATCCTCTCTACTCTGAAACCACCGCTGCTCCGGGGGTAGGGGGAACTATTCTTCCCCCTTTCCCTGGAAGTTCCCGGATCCGCGCGGAAAGGCGCGCACAGGGCGGAGGGTCTGGCGGAAAGGGAGGGCGCGCAGCCCCGGGGGAAGGGGGGGTTCGTGGTGGAAGTGGGAGAGGGCGGGGCGGGGGGAACGTGGAGAGCGGAAAGGGGAGAGGGCGGGGCGGGGGGAACGCGGATAGCGGAAGGGGGAGAGGGCGGGGTGGGGGGAATGCGGCGGGAGCAGAATCTGATGCGCGGGGTAGCGGAAACAGGCGTGATTTCGGAAGTAGGGGAGGCGGCGGAACAGCGAATCTGCCACGTCAGCAGGCCGGACGAGGACGTGGTCAGGGACCACGTGGCAGCAGCCTTGACGTGGAGGGCACGGGTTTTAGAGTAACAGATGGGGATATGGGGAGTGCGCGGGAGAGGGGGGAGAGCAGCGAAACGCTTGGTCGGAATGCAGGGGGAAGGGGAAGGGGAGATGGAAGGGGAGGGGGAGGAGCAGGGGAAAGGAGCAGGGGAGGTGGAGGGGCCATGGGTCGAGGAGGCTCAGATCAGGGTTTAGGAGATTTCGGAGGAGGTTCAGGAGGAGGTTTAAGCGGAGGTTTAGAAAGGGGTTTAAGCGGGGCTTTACGGGATGGGCCAAGACCGGGTGTGAGAGGGGGGCGGGGCGGAGGAGGAGGGGAGGATGCAGATTTGCTGAGCGCGTATGAGGGGGATGAGTCGAAGAAGGTGTGGAAAGCAGAGAGGCAGATGCAGAGGCAAGCAGGTTAGTGGTTGGTGGGGGGGAGGGGCAGGGTGTGACCATTTGAAAGGCATCGGCATGCTTGTCAGTGGGAGGGGGAGAGGATGGGGAAGTGGTAAGTGAATAGGAGGGGGATGTATTGAAGAAAGTGCGGAAGGCAGGGAGGAGGATGCAGAGGCAAGCAGGTGAGCATGGGTGGTGGGTCAGGGGGAGTGAGGTGAGCTAGGGGAAAGAAGGAGTAATACTGGGCAGGGAATGGGGGGGACGAACGGAGGAAGGTCTGGAAAGCAGAGAGGCGGATTCAGATGCAGATGAGAGGGAGGGGGAAGGAGGGAAGAGGATGTGAAAGGCATCGACAGGCATGTTTGTGGGAATGGTAGGAGGAGAGGGGGACGGGTGGAGGAGGAGGGGAGGACGCAGATTTGCTGAGTGCGTATGAGGGGGATGAGTAAAAGAAGGTGTGGAAAGCAGAAAGGCAGATGCAGAGACAGGCAGGTCAGTGGGGAGGCCTGAAAAGGGATTATAGTTGACTTTTGAGTTGACTGAAAGGTTTGTTAGTGGGGAGGCCTGAAAAGGGATTATAGTTGACTTTTGAGTTGACTGAAAGGTTTGTTAGTGGGGAGGCCTGAAAAGGGATTATAGTTGACTTTTGAGTTGACTGAAAGGTTTGTTAGTGGGGAGGCCTGAAAAGGGATTATAGCCCAAACCGGCTCACATCGTTTTGTTTATCAGAACCATTTGTTTCAGCTGATGCCAGGGCAGCAGCAGACGGAGGGGATTTTTGCTGCTACAATTTCGTTCATTCCATATCCCAACGCCCCTTCCTTCCTCTTCTGCACATCCCTTGTATCTCTTCTTGTGTCCTTGCACGCCCCTTCATTAATTCCTTCTATCAACCCCCCTTCTCTTTCCAACAGAGGCTGATGCAAGGGCCGCAGCAGAGGAGGCAGCAGCAGCAAGAGAGAGGAGGAACGAGGGTATTGCTGGGAGGAGCAATGAGTGGTGGGAAGACGAGGAGGAGGCAGAGGAGGAGGAAGAGGAAGAGGAGGAGGAAGAGGATGGGGAAGAAAGAAGGAAAGGGAGGATGGAAAGGAGTGAGAGGGGGAGGACTGAGGGGAGGAGTGAGAGGGGGAGGGTGGAGTGGAGCAGGGAAGGAGTGAGACAGAAGTATATGTATGGCCCCTATGGCCCGTATGGGGGGAGGGCGCCAATGGTGGGGAAGCACAAGAAAGCAAAGATCACGGATGAGTGGGTCATTTCAGAGTTCAGCTCGGTTCAGACTGATGAAGGTGGGTGCTGTGGGGTGAAAATGGGTTCAATGCGGTGGCAGTGGGAGCAGATCGCTGACAGTGGGTGGGTGTGTGCATCTGTACGGTCCGTATGGCCCGTATGGGGGAAGCACGTAGATGGTGGGGAAGCTAAAAAAAGCTAAGATTACGGACGAGTGGGTTATTTCTGAATTCAGCTCAGTGCAGAGCGATGAAGGTGGGTGCAGACCGATGAAGGTAGGTGCAGAGCGGTGACAGCAGGTTTCAGAGGGGTGACAGTGGGTGACGGTGGGTGCAGATCGGTGACGTTTGGTGCAGCGGAGTGGTGACAGTGGTAGTAAGGGAGGGAGTGAGGCAGAAGTACCTATATGGTCCCTATGGCCCGTATGGGGGGAGGGTGCTGATGGTGGGGAAGCACAAGAAAGCTAAGCTCACAGACGAATGGGTTTTCTCCGAGTTCAGCTCGGTGCAGACTGATGAAGGTGGGTGCAGTGCGGTGACAATGATATCTATACGGTCCCTATGGCATGGGGGGAGGGCGCCGATGGTGGGGAAGCACAAGAAAGCTAAGATCACGGACGAGTGGGTGATTTCGGAATACAGCTCGGTGCTGACTGATGAAGGTGGGTGCGGAGCGGTGACAGCGGGTTACAGAGCACTGAAGGTGGGTGCAGAGAGATGGCAGTGGGTGTGTGTGTATCTGTAAGGCCCCTCCCTATGGCCCGTATGGGGGGAGGGCGCCGATGGTGGGGAAGCACAAGAAAGCTAAGCTCACAGACGAATGGGTCATCTCCGAGTTCAGCTCGGTACAGACTGATGAAGGTGGGTGCAGTGCGGTGACAGCGTGTGTGCTTCGCCCCACCAACACCCACTTAAATTCAGAGATTCGTCTTCGTTCTAACCAACAGCCCCGCCCTGCTCTTCACATGTGTGCTCGCTACTAGAAAGCACTCAATCGTTTCCTCTCTATTCCCCCGCACCTTGCCCGGTCAGTCTATATCTCTAACCACCCCCTTCCCAGCTCACCTCTTCCCACCTGATTCCACCCTGCGCCCCTGAACAGAGTAGGAGAGCACAGAGCAGAACCACATGTGTGCTCGCTGCCCTTGACTCCTTCCTCTCCACACCAACCGATCTAACCACACCTCATGCTGCAGCCTCACTTGCCCTCTGTGTGCCCTGCCCCCCATGCAGAGCAGGAGAGCGCAGAGCAGAACCACATGTGTGCTCGGTATGAGAAGGCTCTAGACTCCTTCCTCTCGGCACCAACCACTGCAACAACACAAGCCTTGGAACCAGGGGCAGCTGTTGAACCGGATCTGCTGCTTGTGTTTGCACGGAAGAAGCAGATACCACTCAATCCAGATGCAATGGAGGAGTCCAGATCTCAATCCAAGTCTCGAGTAAGTGTTGCTGTTGTTGCCTCTTTTTTGTATCGTAATTTCTGTTGCCTTTTGCCTCTATTTTATCGCATTTTTCTGTTCACCCCCCCCACACCTTCGCTCCCCCGTCTCCCCACCCAAACCCCCCTACCACCAGCCCCTGTGGCTGCAGTGGACGCTCGTCGCTCAACTCGCCCTGCCACCTCTCACCCTCACCACTGCCATTCATGAGTTTCACGTTGCTACACAGCACACGAATTTATGGAAAATGTTCTTCTCTCCACCTCTGTTTCCTGTCCCCTCCCCTTTACCTTCCCCCACCAGCCCCCGTGGCTGCAGTGGACTCTCGTCGCACAACTCGCCCTGCCCCCACACCTTCCTCACACTTCGACTTACTCTGCCCTCCCTATATGCCCCTCTCGTCTCCCCCCTTATCCGCCCCGCCCACCAGCCCCCGTGGCTGCAGTGGACGCTCGTCGCACAACTCGCCCTGCCCCCACACCTTCCTCACACTTCGACTTACTCTGCCCTCCCTCTATGCCCCTCTCGTCTCCCCCCTTATCCGCCCCGCCCACCAGCCCCCGTGGCTGCAGTGGACGCTCGTCGCTCAACTCGCCCTGCCCCCGCTCACCCTCACCACCGCCATTCACGAATTTCACGACCCTACAATCACAGCGACTAGCACAGCTGCTCAACTGATAGAATACACAGGAGCTCTTGATGGTGCTGGAGACACAGCAGGGGCTCTTGAGGAAGCGACTACAGCCGGAGCAGCAGATTCTGCTGCAGGAACGGCGGATGCTGCTGGGAGGGCTACCCCTGATACTGTTTCTGAGTCGACTAAAAAAACGGCGGATGCTGCTGGGAGCTCTACCCCTGATGCTCCTGCAAACCCAGCAGGAGTCTGGTTGTCAAATCAGAAAATGGATGAGCACATGCAGAGGTGGCTGATGGGGCGGATATTCAAGAGAGCGTGGAGTGACGTGGCTCAGTGCGTTGCCTGGTATCGACCAGACCTGGTGTTTACCCGCCATCCAGCTTTTGAGGTATGTCTCGGTGGTGGGACGGGGTTCAGAGCGGTTGAACAAGGTTCATAAGTGTGTGTGGAAAGATCTGGGTGCAGAGGTGGCTGATGGGGCGGCTACCCAAGAGGGCGTGGGGTGACGTGGCTCAGTGCGTTGCCTGGTACCGACCAGACCTCGTGTTCACCCGGCATCCTTCTTTTGAGGTACGTCCTGCAGAGGCTTTCGGAATGGTTCAAAGCGGTTTCGAAGCGGTTCAGAGGGGTACCACGCGGTACAGAAGGGCGTGCTCTGAAAGGAGGGTGCAGAGGTGGCTGATAGGACGGCTGCCCAAGAGGCCGTGGAGTGACGTGGCTCAGTGCGTGGCCTGGTACAGACCAGACCTCGTCTTTACTAGGCATCCTTCTTTTGAGGTGCGCAGTGTACTAGGTCGGTTGGTTTAGAGTGGTGCAAAGGGGTGGAGAGGCTTGGAGTGCCATTGGTCAGTCAGTGCGTTGCCTGTTACCAACCATACTGGGGTGGAGGTTTGCAGTAGGTCGGTTCGGTTGAGAGTGGTGCAAAGCGGTGGAGAGGGCATGGAGTGACATGGGCCAATCAGTGTTTTGCCTGGTACCTACAACAGGATGGTTGCAGCTTCTGAATTGACAGTCCAAACATGATGCACTTTCTGACATCTTTCTGACAGGATTCTGGCTTGCGTCTGACATAGGTACCTACCTCTGACATGCTTCTGACAAGCGTTTGCTGTTTTCCTCTGCTCTGCTGCAGGTCCGTTATGAACCACAGAAGCCTTTTTTCCAGCGCCTCTTCCCAGAGCTCTTTCCTTCGGCTCTATCACAATCACAATCACAGTCACAGTCACACGTCCTTGTGAGCAACCTGAAGCAGGCACTTGGCCTGCCAGCCACCGCCACGCGCGCTGCTGTGCTGGCAGCATACGAGGCCGCCACGTGGCGGCAGCAGGCCTCCATCCTGCGCCACGTGGCACGCCTCCAGCTCAGCGCTGACTGGGACTTGCTGGGCCTGTCTGCTGCTTCAACAGGAGGATATACTGTGACAGGCGATGGTGACAATAGGAGTGGTGACAATAGCGATGGTGATAGTAATGAGGATGAATGGGGAGAGCAGGATCAGATGGAGGAGGATGAAGACGACAGGGGAGAGAGCGGAGAGGAGGGAGAGGGGAGGGATTTAGAAACGGAGGAAGGGGAGGAGGAAGATGAGGATTTGGTGTGGTCAGAAGCAGAGGAGCAGAGAGCATTAGCTCGAGATGCAGAGATGCTGAAGCAGCAGGGGGGCCAAGGAATTACTAGTCAGGGACTGTTGGGTGAAGGTTTAACTGGTGGAGGTGACATTGACGTTCTTGCTGGTGGTGCTGCTGCTGCTAAAGCTGGAGTTGCTGGCAAGAGTGATAATGATGGCTCAATTAGTTATGGTGGTGACGAGTTGTCTGTAATGGAGCGGACTCTAGTGAGGAAAAAAGAGGAGGCAGCTGGGGAGGTGAAGGCAGCAGTGGGGCCGTTTGATTCAGTCAGGCTGATTGGGGAGCTCACGCTGTTGCATGCTATTGAGAGTGGAGAGGAGACATTCTGAGAATCCAATACCCTACATACTAAGTACCTACATGTACCTCCTGTTGGAACATGTTGTAATCATGTTATGTCGTATTGTACCTCTTGGTATTGTTATGTTGCAATTGTCGAAATGTTATAATGCTTATATTGTGTAGGCGGTAGTGGGGTAGCCCATAAGGGGTAAAACTCAATTAGGGCTAGTATGTACCAACTTTCTGCTCAATGCATTCATTCTCGTTCAGTATTCTGACATGGTTTCAGAGCAGGTCCTGTTCCAGGATCGTTTTTTTTTAGGGCCCACCACATAGCGCTGCCCCACTAGTCGCGTCGCCCTGCCCTGCCTGTCGCGTCGCCCTGCTGGCCGTCGCGTTGCCCTGCCCTGCCCGCGCGCCGCAGTGCTAGCAGCCGCGCCGCCCTGCCCTGCCTGCGCGTCGCCCTGCCCTGCCCGCGCTGAGCCGCCCTGCTGCTCGCGCCGCCCTGCTGCTGCCCGCCCTGCTGCTGCCCGCCCTGCTGTGTGCTGCCCTGCTGGCCGACGCCCTGCTGCCCGCGCGCCACCCTGCTGGCCGCCGCACCGCTGCCCGCACCGCCCTGCCCGCACCGCCTTGCTGGCCGCCACCCCGCCCTGCCCTGCCCACGCACCGGCCTGCTGGCCGCCGCCCTGCCCTGCCATTGCACTGCCCTGCCCTGGCCGCGCGCCGCTCTTCCCTAGCCGTGCGCCGCCTCTCCCTGCCCTGTGCGCTTTCCTAGTGCTCGCGCGCCGCCCTGCCTGCGTGCCGCCCTGCTGGTCGCGCGCCACGCTGCTCTGCCTGCTATGGCTTCTCTCAGTGTTCTCACCTTTGATCATGAGGGCCGTCCGATCCAGTTCGATGCGTGGCCCAACGACTTACAGCTGTACTTGCTGAGCTTTTCTAGAGACAACGTTTCGTTGTTTGACCACACGTCTGGAGCCTCTCTCGCCACTCAAGGTACTGGAGCTGCTGGTCCTAGAGGTGCTCGTACTCGAGGTACTGGAGCTGCCGGGGCTGGTGGTGTTGGAGGCACTGGAGCTGGAGACCCTGGAGCTGGAGGCACTGGAGCTGGAGGCACTGGAGCTGGAGGCACTGGCGCTGGAGGTGCTGGAGCTGGAGGCACTAGAGCTGGAGACCCTGGAGCTGGAGATGCTGGCGCTGTGGGTGCTGGAGTTGGCGGTACTGGTGCTGGAGGCACTGTGCAGCGGCGACCGTTTTTCGTTCCGCCGCCACCGTCATCTCTATTGCCACTTGACTCGGTCCTTCGCCAGGTTCTTAGTCTCCCGTCCTCTACTGGGCTTACTCCTAGCTTGTTGTGCCCACCACCTCACCAGTCGCAGCCACAGTTACAGCCAGACTCCCCACTGCCTGCTCCTTCTCCTTACGCTGAGCAGACAGACTCTCTTACAGAGCGTCGTGAGCCTGATTCTCGTCCTGCCTCACCTGTTCGCGCTGTTTGCACTGGTCGTCGTGTTCCTCGTCTGCGTCCTCCTCCTGTCCCCGGCACTCCCGCTATGGCACGTCATCCTTCCTCTGTTGCACTGCGAGTTCCCCTGCCGTCTCCTCCTGCGTCCTCTCTTCCTGACGGTCTGGACTCTGAGTCTGACTTAGCTCATGCTGCTAGTCCTACTGTCCCACGTCTTCTAGCCACTGTTGTCGCTGACCCTTCGCTTGAGTCCGCTGCTGCGTCTGCCCTAGTTGCTGAGCTTGTTGACTTTGCTGCTGCCTGTCATCTCGACTACGCCGCTAGTCTTGTTGCTGAGTCTGAGTCTGACTGTCCTCCGTCCGTCGGGGGTGAGTGTGCTCTTGGCACGAACGTCCTTGAGGACAGGCAGGAGGACTTTGAGTGTCTTGTAGGTGATGTACCTCATCTCGTGGCCATGCTGCTTGCACCTGAGGTAGACCCGGATGCACCGGACATCCCAACCCCGCGCTCTTACGCAGAGGCGATTACGGGTCCCTACTCCTCTCAGTTGTAGACAGGCATGGAGGCAGAGATGGCATCGTGGAAGTCCACAGGCACCTACGTTGACGCAGTTCCCCCTCCTGGGGCGAACATAGTCGATGGTATGTGGATTTTCAAGGTGAAGCGGCCGCCGGGTTCTCCGCCTGTCTTCAAGGCTCGTTACGTTGCACGAGGCTTTAGTCTGCAACAGGGAGTTGACTTCTTCCAGGCCTTCATCCCTACCCTGAAGATGACCACTCTTTGGGTGCTGCTGCAGGTCGCCGCTCAGCCTGACTACGAGCTTCACTCTCTTGACTTCAACACAGCTTTCTTACAGGGCAGCCTGCACGAGGAGATCTGGCTGCGCCGCCCACCTGGCTTCACTGGGTCGTTTCCTGCAGGTACCCAGTGGAGCCTCCGGCGGCCAGTTTACGGTCTCCGCCAAGCGCCTCGCGAGTGGCACGACACACTGAGGACGACACTTGCGGCTCTTGGGTTTGCTCCTTCAGCTGCTGACCCGTCGCTGTTTCTGCGCACCGACACTTCGCTGCCGTCATTCTACGTCCTCGTGTACGTCGACGACTTGGTCTTTACCACTGCTGACTCTGAGGCACTGGCCCTTGTGAAGTCAGAGCTATAGAAGAGACATGCCTGCACTGACCTGGGTGAGCTGCGTAGCTATCTTGGCTTGCAGATCACCCGGGACAGAGCACGGCGCACCATCACCCTGACTCAGTCACACATGGTGCACCAGGTCCTTCAGCGCTTCGGCTTCAAGTACTCCTCGCCACAATCCACTCCTCTGTCTACCGGTCACTCGCTCTCAGCTCCACCTTCGGACGAGTCTGTAGAGCCGAGTGGCCCATATCCAGAGCTTGTGGGTTGCCTCATGTACCTGATGATCTGCACTCGACCTGACCTTGCCTACCCTCTTAGCATCCTGGCACGCTACGTTGTGCCCGGGAGACACCGACCAGAGCACTGGGAGGCTGCTAAGAGGGTGTTGCGCTACTTGTGCAGTACATCGGGCATGGGGCTCGTGCTTGGAGGACGGGGTCCAGTTGTCCTCACTGGACACGCCGACGCTTCTTGGGTTGACGACTTGGCTACGCAACGGTCGTCACATGGTTACACTTCAGCCTTGGCTCCGACTCTGTTTCTTGGTGGTCTACCCGCTCGTCTTCTGTTCTCAGTTCCAGTTGTGAGGCTGAGATCTACGAAGGGGCCATGGCTGCACAGGAGTTATGTTGGCTCACCTACCTGCTGACCGACTTGGGAGAGCGGCCTCGTTCTTCTCCAGTTCTGTACGTAGACAACAAGGCCATGATTGCCTTGTGTCAGAAGCACAGACTGGAGCACAGAACGAAGCACATCGCTCTGCGATACTTCCTTGCTCGAGAGTTGCAGCAGCGTGGTCAGCTTCGTCTTGCTTACGTGGCCACTCGGGCCAACACTGCTGATATATTCACCAAGGCACTTCAGTCTGGTGATCATCAACGTTTCTGTACTGTTTTAGGCCTTGTGCCTACTTTGCCTCACTTGCTCACTGCGTGACTTTGCTTGTACTGTGATCTATATATATACCAGCATACTTACACTTGCTAGGGTTTGATCACTGTACTGTTTGTTCTCTTTTATATAACTCTGCATGTGAACTGGCCTTGTGGCCATTTGCTTGTGCTCGGAATGTGTGGTGACTTCGTGATCCACCCTGAGCTTGTTTTGCTTTTCTTGACTGGTCTTGTGATCACTTGTTCTCCCCCACTTTGCCTATGGGGGTGTGTCAAAATGTTATAGTGCTTATATTGTGTAGGCTGTAGTGGGGTAGCCCATAAGGGGTACAACCCAATTAGGGTTAGTACTTGTACCAACTTTCTGCTCAATGCATTCATTCTCGTTCAGTATTCTGGCAGCAATCTCTACAGTATAAAAGGCAAATGCTTTGCGAACCAGGCTGGAGTGGACCTGGTACATGAAGAATTTGTTTGCTGTAGGTTTTTGCAATCAAACTCAGGTCTTGGGTTTTACCATACGCCATGATCTCTGTACTGCAACCTGAGCTGAGTGAAGGTCCTTTCCTTTGCCACTGCTGGTAACAGGGGAAAATCTTATGGAAACAAACAGCTGAAGCCAACTGAGCAAGCTGTTCCAGTCATTATTACAGACTAAAGCATCACTGGGAACCATAAAAGGTCAACTAGTCCCACTCCCCAGGCCTTCATATTGAAATGAGAGGGGACTAGCAGCATATGCAAAATGAGCGAAAAGTGCCACCCACCAACACTGACCTGCCAAAGCCGCATTAACTGGACAGCCGGGGAGTGTCACGCAGGCTCTACAGATAAATAAGTCTCAGCAGCGGAGTTGCCCTAAGAAAAAAATATTCAACTGAGAGAAAGTCTTCTGTCATCTGTGATTGAACCCTTCTTCTGCAGTGACAGACATCCAATGGGAGCCATCTCACACATCACCAGAAATTCGTCATCCCACATCATGAGCGCCTGTAGCACCACGACGCTTACAATCACAGCAATTTTTACTGCTTCAGGATCCGTTCTGGTCAAGAGCAGGTTTTCTATAGCAGCCATTATGCGGTTTTCGTATTCCTTCATTTTCGCAGCGTGGGATGCATTGAGTTTTTCGATCGTGTCAACTAACAGCCTCGCACCCTTCATTTTTTTGTCATCGCGCCGTTGCCGAGTCCGCATGTTGGGTTGCGTCCTTGATCGACTTTATGTTGGGTGAACGGACAATGTCACGAGCATTTATGCAAATCAAAATGCTCGTTTGACTCCTGAAGCTTTTCAGCGGACCTTGAGAATACAAGATAAACTTCACGCATACAGCATGTATGGAATTTGTGCAGGGAAAAGTACCTTGATTTGACAGCGAGTCCGCTCGGGGTGGACTAGCCACTGGATTGTCACCAGCGGCCCGTGAGTCTCTTCGCAAACGCCTGGCATCACGTGAGGGAGCTAGGCTTTCTATTTCATCCGTTAATACACTTTCAGAGACATCATCACAGTTGTGGGCCATCTTTAAGGACTTAGAACGACCTCTAGTACA